ACACACACACGCACACACACACACACGCACACACACACACACACACACACAATGCTGATCTTCTAAGATGTGCAGAATACATCATTTATGAAGATTTAAATAATGTAAGTGGGATAAAACAAACAGCTTTTCTCCTTCTTGCCTAATATGTGACACATCTGGACACACTGCTCTTTTTTTGTTCTTTTTTGCAAGTCATGCCGAGTTTGAGTTTAAATTGGTCTGATATCAAATGAATTTCTGACATMAGCCAAGGGCAGATGACGAAGTAATGCACTTAGTCGGAGCAGAAAGATAAAATTTGATATAGGAATGTKATTGTGACAGTCAGGGAGTCCTTGATTTAAAAACTACAAGCAAGAAGCTAAAAAATGAATCCCATTTCACCCCTTGCCCTTTTTCTTTCGGTATGTTTGATGATGGGGGTATGGGGCATCCTAATTCTTTCAGTGATGATGGGGCAAAGAGGTAGGGCTATTTGGCCCCTTCAAACAGAGATTTTTCAGAAACACTTTAAACTAAGAGGGCAATAGCTACAGTATAATAAAAAATACCCAGCTGGATATATATGTGAACAATTAGAGCTTTTTTTTTTAATAAAAGATGTATGTGGAATTTGTCTGCAGTAGSTAAATTGCTGAATTTGAGATAAAATATGAAAAACCCAGACAAACAAATGCATTACTAAGAATACCAACACTTGACTATAATTCATATTTTATACCATGATACTCACTCCCATAGGGGTTAGCTGAACGTCCATAAATATGACTGAAACTATCATCGGTGATCCCATCGCATTGCTCTTCCTCAAACTCCTCATCCTCATTCTGATAGGATGTGGGACTGTCAGTGGTGGGCAGGCTGGATTCTCCAGGACTGGATCTTTCGCCGCCCGTTCCTCCTCCCACTCCACCTCCCAATCCACCTCCGCTGGTCCCTTGAAAGGGGAACGAAGGCATTCCAGGGATGGGGGTCCCTCCAGCTGTCGTGTAGAAGAGCGAGCTGGCCCTCGCCAGACGACTCCCCAGCTCCGACGTTGTAATTTTGCTTTGCACCGAGGGCACTGATATCGGTGTGGGATCGCCGCCCTCTAGTTTTATCTTCCGCGGTGGGATGAGTAGAGGTGCCGTGGACCAGCTTTGGGTCCCCAAAACGGCAGCCACCGAAAGGCCGTTGCCATTGTTTAGAGGACTTTGTGGCTCCGATCCTGTTTCTTCTAAGGACCCTGCCGTTTGCGAGTCACAGTGAGGTGAGTTCGCTTTAAACATTAGGTCCATGCCCTTTTCAACTATGTGCTGAATCTGGAGGTAGCCAGCTGTGTACATGACAACCAGTTGTTCACTTGCTGCCATTGTTAGCTTCCCTGTATAACAAAAACCCAGGATCTGCTCAAAGCAAGCAGGGGTGACTGAGGAAGGCAACTCAAACTGGGTCTTGGTTGAGCTGCTGAAGAGGTCACGGAAGTAGAGGCTGCTGGCAGCCAGAACAGCCCGGTGGGCTTTAAAAGCCTGACCTGGTTTGAAAAGACAAGTTGAGAATATTGATTTAAACACCTCAAAATCATGTAAACAAAACAAAACAAAAAAAACTTCCAGCATTTTTGGTAACTCACCTTTAACCAGTATGGATACATCACAGTATTGTCCCAGGAGGCGCTGCTCATTAAGGGAACCCAGAACCGTGGCTCCAAAATTGGGGATCTCCACTTGGAGCAGCTGGGACATATTGGCCACAGAAGGAGGCTTTCAAATATTCACTGCAGTCTCTGTCGCTAAGAGAGGCATCTGTAAAAAAAGAAACCCAAAACAACAACAGAAAAAAATGATGTATGGGAGTTTGTTTGAGAAGGGGGAGAAAAAAAGTCTTGAGTAAATAGAAAACGTGTCAGAGATGAAGGTAGAGAGGCGATAACTGAGAGGAGGAAGCAAGGAGTTGGAATTAAGCGAGAAAACGAATGCCGTTGCGCGAGAAGTGAGAGGAGTGTGAAAGAAAAGATGGATATGTGAAAATAGTGGGTGAGAGATTGAGACAGGAGAGAGGAAGGAGGAGTCAAGTCACTCCACAAAAAAAAAAAAAAACAATGCCGTGCCTACTGTAAGTGTGTGAAATGTTGTGAAACCTCTCCAGGCTATGTTGTTTAACATGACTTGGATTCTAGGAACCCTGGACTGGTTCCACGAACTGCTCTTAACGCCTCGAAAACAGTTTTCCAACCCTGTGGACTTTGGTGGCCTGGAAGTTAGCCTTGACAGTAACTTTTCTCAGCAAATAAAACTCCTGCTCTTCATGTCAGAGTTCATAGATTCTCCTTCACCTTGCCGACTCGAAACTTCATGTATTTGTTGCATTACTCTTTCACAGCTTTGGCTAGAGGTTTTTTTTTTTTCTTTTTCTTTCCCCTCGTCATAGATAGTTCCTTGAAATCCTTCGCAGCACATTCTCCAGGAATATCCGCACCTTCATTACTTCTCTGAACCATGTATAATTGTCTTTGCCCACCCCCCCCCAAACACATACACACGTACATATACACACACGAGTTTCATTATTGAGCAATGCTGCAGAACAGTTTCCAGGAATACAAACTGAAAAAATGTCACCGCCTCTTTAACACACGCACACACACACACACACACACACACACACACAGTCTCTTTCTCTCTGTACAGACACACACATGCAGCCTGGCTTCCTTGCATAAAAAGTGTGCATGCATAAATCAACACACACACACACAAACACACACAGAGTGGGCTGTATGGGGAAATTACTGTGCAACCTGGCACCCATGTCCTCACCTGGAGAAACCAGCACATAACTCCAGCAACTTTCCCACAGCTAACGTGTGCACACACACACACACACACACACACACACACACACACACACACACACACACACACACACACACACACACAAAGTGCTCAGTTAGCCCAGACAGTTCTGACCTGCGTAAAGCCAGTCTTCTGGTTCAAACACACCATGGAGCCTTGACACACAAACACGCCAGCAAGAGTCAGAAGCAGGACGAAGGAGGAGGAGGAGGAGGAGTAGTTACAGACGGAAGGAGAGCACTCTGATGTTCTCCGTCTGGCCAGCGCTCTCTTTCACTCAAAGTGTCATCCCCACTGTCTCAAAGATCCCTCTCTCGCTCTGCTTTCTGCCCGACTTTTCTCTTCCTGCCTCTAAATCCTTCGATAACCCATTCTCTCTGCCTCTCACTGTCTCCAAGCCTCCCTTTGCCTCCCTGTCATCACCATCATCGCTCTCCACTACGCTCCCTTCTTTTCTATTCTCCAAGGGCTGAATTCAACAAGTGCCGCTGCACAGAGGGAGAAAGAGAATAGGAAGGAGGGAGCAAAAAAAAAAAAAAAGCGAGCAGAGCAGAGCAAATCAATGATAAAAGGAGTGGGAGGCTTGGTGCGTGCGTGTGTCTGCGCGCGTGTGTCTGATCAATGCAGTATCTATACGTCGCAGGGAGTGGGAGGGAGAGAAAAACACAGGCTACAGTTACAGACAGAGACCGGGCTGAGTTGGAGAGAGTCCGGGCGAGGGGAGGGGAGAGTTGAGACAGAGAGAAAGTCATTTGAGGACAATACGAGAAGAGAAAGACAATTAGGTTGAAGCAACTTCTGCCCCTCGACACAGATGTCTATATGGTGTGACAGAGAAGGGGAGAGGGAATGAGTCAGACAGCAGAGAAATGAGAAAAGCCTGCAGAGYGCATAAACACTGTTAATTTATTAGACAGCAAATAGTGAAACTTCGAAAAATGCCACTTTGACGCAAGTCTGGAGAGAATCATTCCCCTGGTAACAGAGTTTTAGTAAACCGGAAGCTTTCACGTGGACGGTGTAGAGAAAGTTTTCCGAAAGGTATTTTCCACTTTTAAAGACAATAGTGGGGGGAAAAAAAGAAAAAAGGAATAAAAAAAATAAAACAAAAAAGAAAAAAAAGAGAGGTTTTACTTTTGAGCAAGTGTTGTGTATGTTCTGTGAATCACGCCAAGGACATCTCTGCCAAACACCTACACACCAACCAGACACCCAAGTACTGTCTTCACGCAAGACCACTTTGCACATGAATTGATAAATTAAATGATTAATTTACACACCTCCGCATTTGTAGCTTGGCCTATTTGGGGTGCCATTTTGTTGTTACTGACGTTAYTTTCTATTTTTTTTAAGCCTCAGTGTATTAAGCGAAAGAGACGGGAGCAGGGTGTTGCAGCCGTGGCTATGAGAAGCACTGCTATCCAAAGAGGGTATGTTCCGCAAAGATGTGCGGGGGACGGCTACGAATGTAAAACTGCTGTAATGGGATGAGTAAGAGATTTGCAACTGTTTTCGTGTGGACATGAAAGTTGTGTAATTCTTGCGTGTCGGGATGAAGTAGAAGAACACAATAGAAATAGCTCTCCAACCGAGGCGCTGTGTTCTGGGAGATGAGAGCACTCGTTTACAACAAAATGACCTTCAAAATCTCACTCCATCTTTTTTACCTTTTGTAATCTGCAGTCTTTGAAAGAGATAAAAAGCTGACGCAGAGGTTTTTTTTTTTTAATATACCTGAGCACATCCCTGGAAAGTATCAAGAATCATTGGGTTCATTCTCTGCCAAGGAAACCTCATATGGAGAAAGTTGTGCTATAAACTGAGCAAACTTTTGCTCTTCAGTCACAGCGGAAATATGAAAGTGAGGATATCACAAAGGGGCTGAGCAGAGTGAGTCAGACGATGGTTTTGAGAGCTTTGCCACAGCAGCGTGATATCTGCACGGCACATATAGGCACACATGAGTGAGAGCGTGCACGCACACGTAAATACACACAATAAAAAGCTCAGAGAAACAAATACGCAAACACACTAATGCAAACAGACACTCACTCCCTTGCTCTCTTAAACACACTCACACACACACATACAACACACACGGTCAGGTAATCTCCCTGTGCACACTCAGCAGTACACATTCTCTTAGTCTGTTTGTCCCTCTGGGAAACCTGCCAGACTGCTTGTCCATCGGTCCGTCCGATGGTTATTGTTACTATTGTGTCCTTACATTGCCTCTTGCTCACACCCCCCGCCCCCCACCCTCTCCATTTTCTCTACGCTTCCCATCCTGCATACCACAAACCCACTGTCTCTCTGCCAATTAATGCACACAGGGCTGCATTGCAGTGAGGTTGGCGCGTGCCACGGCAGCGAGCACAGTACAGAGTCTACAGACATGCATGTACGTGCCAGCCAGGCGGAGCGAAGGGGAGTTTGGGGGGTGGGAGGGGGGAGGAGAGAGAGGAAAAGCAAAGGAGAGTGAACAGGGAATATGTTGAGTCAGGCAGACAGGACAGTGGTGTGCCACATACACACACACACACACAAAAACACACACGTACAAACGAACATAGCTGCATATTCATGTAAATGTATGCACGAATATATTTAAAACAGATTCTGAGAAAAAAAAAAGTGCCAAAACTTCACACGGACATGAAAAGACACGCACACAKCGACACGCACATGCAAATTCCAGCCTGCATTAAATATAGACTTTGCACATCGCTGATAGAAAAAAAAAACATATAAAGGCATGAACTCCCTCAACTTGTTTGTCTAACAAGCGATTATGCATGCCTGTGTGTGTGTGTGTGTGTGTGTGCGTGCGCCCCGTTTCAAGGCTCGTGCCCCCGTTTCCTGCTAAGAGTGTTCGCCTTCCCCCCTGTCAAAGTTTCTCGCACACCGAGGTGTGTTTTTATAGTTTGTCGTTTCATGCAATGACTGGGACTTTTGGCGCTCTGCGTCAGGGGACTGAGTGCAGACGGTTTGTCGGGGTAGACCGCCCGTGTTTGGTRTTTGCTTTCCGCTTTCGTTGAAACGTCCGTTTAATCAAGGGATTCACACCTGCGCACGCGTGTCATTAGTGGAAGCAGCAGGTCTGGACCTATTTGAATAACGTGAAGACATGGGAGCACTGGCCAGATGGTAAACAAACACACTCACACACAAATTTTAGTCACCCTGAAGTTTAAATAGTGATTTGGTGGTCAAATATAAAAGCAGGAAAGTCCTACACARCTCCTAATCACCAATTTAGACACATTCAAAGATTTCAGCCTGGAAGTAAACTTGAACTGCGCAGATAATACAAGTTAACCAAACAATAAAGATACACCTCATCAGGGCCTAGAAAAGTATTAAAATCAACAACAACTCATTCAAAGCATAAATAAAACGCAACAGAATGAAAATTTGGACTTGAGCTGATCAGGAGCACATCCTTCCCCGCTTGCTGGTGTTGCCTCTATACATTCCCAATATGAACAGTCCCCTCGTTATAAATATTCAGATCCTGCAGTTGTTCTCATGTCTAAAGTGTACCAGACAACAGATTCTATCCACGTTGAGACGGCAACGCTCCCTGGCAACAGTTCTACCAATCGGGAACGAGCGGGCGTCTGCCTGAGTCTGTCTGAGTATCATTATGGGATGTCGAGAGAGAGAGAAAGAGAGGCTGCTTATCACTGCTTGTAACGTAACATCGCTCTCCGTCTGCGGACCCTGCTGAGTGAAGTTGTCTGCACATAGTCGGGATCAAAAAAAATCACCCTTTCCTACAAAAGAAGAGAAAAACATCCCTGTGATTCACACAGTTACATAACAAAGAGACAGCTATGAAATGATTTGTTGTGGGCTGGATATTGTCTGCTAACTCTCTACTTGTGTTCACTCCGTGCATCAATTAGAAGCGTCATTAGCAGCACCAGCGATGGAGGCCTAACACGAGTCTGAAAAGTACAAAGAAATATCTGACTTTCAGTTATGAGCAACAAAAAATTCATAAAATAAACATTTAAAATTTCTGGTGCAAAGTTCTGTGTGAAAGTTATGAACAATTAATATCTTACCTGTTGTAGAGTTTAATTCTGACCGGACTGATGAGCTAAGGGCTAGTCAGAGCGGGGCCAAGACCAGAGTGGATTGCTGCCGTCTCAAAACTTCTTCGCTCACAAAGCTTTCACAGTATTTCATGCGAATGCTATTTTTCTAAATATTTACACTGATGCCAGTTTTGTATGACATCGTTATTTTCATAATTATCTGCAAACACAAATAGCAGCAGCAGTTAGAACTTCCTGTGCAGTCTGGGGTAATTCTAGCAGAAATATCAGAATTCTTCTGCTAGAATAAGAATGTATGTATGTATTTTATAATGCATACATTGTGTGACAGTATTATTTTAAATATTACATTTAAAATAAATTTTTAAATATTTGAGTTATGTCATGCAGCAATCCACACTGGTCTTGGCCAGCTTGGACTAGCCTTTAGCTTGTAATTTTGGTCTGAGTTACTGGTAAACTATTTCTTCAAGCTGAGGTTCAAATAGCTATCTACAACAAGTAAGATACGGCAGCCAGTAACCATAAAGTAGCTTATAAACTTTGGAGAATAATACAGGTTGCATTAGATAGGGTTCCAACCCCAGGTTTCAAAATTGAATAATAAAAAAAAAGATTTATTCCACTGCAACTTCTCCTACTTGGTAATGCAGACTTTGCTGCAATTTAAAACAGCAAAGATTGCTTCATTCTTCTAATATTACAGCTGACGTGTCACAATACTGATGCCTAAGAAGGCCTTGAGCAACAAACAACAATTTATTTTTTTTTTGCAAAAGAGAATAAGTTGTTACAAAGCAACAAAATATGTTGAAATAACCAATTTGTCTAAACACTGGATTAAATATGTAAAATATATATAAATCTACCATGAATTTAATGTGATCATGTTGAAAACCATGGTAAATAAAAGAAAAGTTAGATGGCACAGAGAAACATCTTCCAAAATCACATATTCAAAACACTTCAAGTGTTATTTCACAAGTTTTCACGTGTGAAAACATGATTTCCATACG